AACCCCTAGTCAATCTCCATTGGTTTATATGCTTTTGAAGTTCACATGCAAACAAAGATTCCTCAGAGTACTTCCTCTGGATTTTCCTCAGAAACACAAGTGGAGGAAAAGGATGATCAGAAGCACAGACTGTAAATTCAATGTACGGCCAGTCCTATAAGGTAACGTATGGTAAGGTAATGAGAATGAAGGTAACGGAGAATGCAGGCTCCAGGGCAGTAACAACCAGTAAATCTTGGCAGGGCAAGCAAACTGGAACCAGAGCTAAATGTGTCTGTGCAAGACTCAATTAAGCTCCCTCTCAGAAGACACAGTGCAGCAGTGAATCTAAATGACAGAGGATGCAAGAAAAGCCACAGCATGTGACAAAAAAAAAGACACAGCTTAAGGACAGCTTCAACCTTAATGTTCTTCTCTATCTTTCCCTCAGGTTTGGTCAACAGGAATCCAGAGACAACGAAGCAAGCAAAATTCACACTAAAAATCTAAACTCATTGCCCTCAGGTCAAATTGTGTCGCACAGTAACTCTATAGGACTGCCCCATGTAACTTTCCAGGCTGTAATCTTTACAAAAGCAGACTGCCACAATAGGGACAGGCAACTAAGACACTGACTACCTAAAACGAGGAGGTGATAAAGGCACGAAGTGACAGGCCTACAAGCTGTCAAGAGGGAATTTAGTTTAAGAGTGTGAGAGGGAAAGTAGAGTACCCACTGAATATTTCATCTTGTCTAGCCAGGTCTGGTGAAAAGAGATGGGGATAAGATTCTTATGATTCAACAGTTAATAATTGTTATCATGACTAATTGCAACTGGCACAACTGTAAAGGTAGAAGTTTGATAACAAAAACGGGAGTGGTTAATCTTACAGAGGCTGTCCTGACTGAGACAACTATGCCCTGAGCATTTCTGACCCTGAGTTGTAAGCTATTATCTTCCCTGATAAACCCAATAAGTGAGTCTATGAGCACCAACCTAGTCCATGCAAGCTGGTTAGGAGAAAGAGACAGGGCCAGCTAGTCTGAAGTACAGGGAGGTGTATGTGATTCCCACACTTGCAACTGATACCCATTTGATCTAGCTAGGGTGGCTAGGACTGAATTGACTAAAACTTGACCTAATAAGAGAAAGAGAGAGATGTTTGATACTGTACGCTAATGTAAACAGCTGCAATTTTGAATGGCTTACTCTGGACTGGACTTTGCTGAGCCTGAATTGTAACCTGTTGACTTCTCTAGGAAACTCCATAACTGTGAGCATGGTGTCTGAGTTCTGTGTGGCATGGCACTGAATGAGCAAACCCAGCTGACAAGTGAGCACTGTGGGAAGGCTGCTTTGCTGATCATGCTTTTTGTACACAGCACCAGGGTTCCTTCTGAAAGCTATCCTCAATCCTAAATGCAAGGAGAGGAAGTATAAACAGCAGTACCCCTCAATTAGTCTGTAACAGAGATCCTTAAGCCCACATCACTGTTCAAGGTCATACAATGGGTCACTGGGATAATGAGCCTAAGAAAAGAAGCCAACATCTAGAGAAATGCTTCCAAACCCAGGAGGGGGCACTACTGCCCTGAGCCTTTCCTCTGCAGTCACCACAAGCACAGCCTAGAGCTCAGGAGGGGTGAGTTGAGGCACACAGATGGTCAGTCGTGTGCGCATGTCAGTGTTCCAGCGGCACTGCCTTGTACCTCCCTGGAGTGGATGAGCAATGTTCAGTCACACAGCAGCTACACCTGCAGGGCCTAAGAACGCTCTGCAGAGGAGACTTCAACCATGGGTGACACAGCTGCTGTGACTCCAAGTGTCATACACATACACATTTTTCAAAGTATGGAGTGAAATATGCATCCTGTAGTCGAACACCAATCCCGTTCAAGTTAAGAAGACACACCCTCTAGTTTACCCAGTCCCCTTTCAAAGGATTTGCAAAATTCACTAGTGAGAAATGGGCGCTTTGTTAACAGTGAGTCATCTTGAGAATGGTCAGTGTTGAGTCCTGGTGTGTTCCTGCTGACACCTGGTGGTAAAATTGAGAAACTGCTTATTGTGCTCCAAACCAAGCCCCACTGCCATAGGATTTCCGAGGCTGTAAATCTTTACAGCCTCATTTTTCTCTTGCACAGCAGCTGGTGGATTTGAACTGCCAATCCATGGTGAGCAATTCAAAAGTTTTCCTGCTCCATAGTTTCTCTTTACCACAGATGCTGAAGGACAATTCTGTCTTCATTTCGGGTTCATCTGCTGTGCCATCTGCTCCAATCAGTTAACTTACTGAGGAGGTCTCATGGAGAAAATGGTCAGCGATAGTTAACAATGACAATTACCCCCAAACTCTAAATGCAAGGTGGAAAGGACATAGAGGCAGCCAAAGGTAACAGAATGATAAGCAAAACACCCCAAACCCACTGCCACTGAGTCAATTCCAGCAAATAGTGATCCTACAGGACAGAGTAAGACTGACTGCCTTATAGGGGTTCCAAAGCTGCAATCTATAAGGGATCAGACTGCCACATCTTTCTCCTATGGAGCAGCTAGTGGGTTTGAACCACTACCTTTCAGTTAGCACCTGAGTGTGCTTAACCACTGTGCCACCAGGGCTCCTTCAGAATGAGAAAGAATGGGATATAGAAGTGGATAGGGAAAGGATCTGAAGAATCTACAAGAGGGAGGGATGAAGACAATAAAAAAATAAAACTTCTCAACGTTAAATACTGCCCTTAGGGATTTTAAAATACTTTTTTGCCAATAAGCCAGAAAAACTAATTTAGAAATACCGAAATATACAATGATATGAGATATTAAAAGGTTTCAAATCTCAGTATACTACTGATGAAAAGACTCATCTTTGAAGTTACAAAAATGACAAACCTAATTTTGTCTGTAACATTATACATACAAGTTACTGTTAAGTGCCACCAAGTCAGTTCCGATTCATAGCAACCCGTCTCTACATGGTTTCTAAGGCTGTGTATTTTGCAGAAGCAGACAGCCTCATCTTTCTCCCATAGAGGAGCTGGTGGGCTTGAACTGCCAGCCTTGTGGTTTACAGTCCAGTGCTTATCCCACAGAGCCACTGTGTCCCCATACATACATAAGGGGGAAAAAAGACAAGAATATTCCCAAGCAATAGTGATTCTCAGAGTGTGGACTATTCTAATTGGGGTTTTTCTGTTTGTGTCTAGATGGCTTGTTAAATGCTCATTTGTTTTACAGATTTTCCTTTAGCCTGTTCAAAGGTGACAAGGATCCTCTTTGTTCCTAGGCTCAGGGGAACAACTGTGTAAGCTAAAAGCAAAAGCTTTCTGAAGACAACTGTTGAAAGGTTAAACTCACTGAAGTAAATTTACCCCAGAGAGTACTCTAGAGGAAGTGAGTCCTGATGTGGCACTGTAGGGTTAATGCTGGACTGCTAACCACAAAGTTGAAGGTTCAAACCCACCAGTCACTCCTTGGAAACCCTATATAAAGTCACTATCAATTCAGAACCAGCACTTAGCCCATGAAAGCTGCACTTAACAAAAATTCTGAGAAAGAAGGGAATCCAGTGACATTGAAGAAAAGAGGATAAAACAAAAGTTATTTCCCAGAACTAGAAACACACCAAGGTTGACACATTTCCTGAGTGGGTTTGCGAAGCTGAAGTCTGAGCACTGACCAGGGCTCCCAGCTGAGGTAAGACCCTCACACCAAAGCTACCTGCAAGCAAAAGAACTACTGGACCTCCACAAAGTGCATGGGCAGAACAACAGGAATCTCAGGAGTAACTACAGTGGGCTTCTATTTTCTAGTTCTGTTTTCTCCAGGACTTTTCTTTTTGAAGCCGCCTTGTATTGCAACCTGGTAACAACCAGGATACTGTCCTCTAAATAAGGACCCTGTCTGACCCTAGCATGAAGCCTCAAATCCAGGTTTAATTTAATGTAAAGAAATAATGTGATACTAATCACATATCAAATCTGTGAAATAAGATTCACAATCACTACATGCTTTCCAACATTTCTAAAATTTACTCACATCACTTTTATAGTCAGAAATATGGTCAGTAACAAAGCTTTATTAAAAATGATAATACAAAAAACCTTGTTTCTTTTTATCACTGGAAATGAATAATCCGGTTTAAACAACATAAATATCAGTACTGGGTCCATGATATCATTGATCCAGAAGCAGCTTCAGCATTAGAAAGAGCACTGCTCTTTGAACCCTCATGGTTTTGCATTCCCTTTTATGTACAGTAGCCGACGGTCCTGAATGTAATTCATACAGGAACACAGAAGTACACAAAACACTTTCTTTCTGGCTTCTTTTTGCACTTAAGAGACAAGTTTGGGTAAATTAGGAGATGCAAAAGGGTTATAATAGCACAACCATTTAAAAATTAGAGTTTTAAAAGTTCTTTCTGGCATCAGCTTCATTTTAGATTAATACCAACAACACATCTATTTTGAAAGTGTGTTAAATCAGCAGGAAGGGATGCTTTGCACATATCCATCTCCAAGCCAGAATACCTCTTGTTCTCACAGTCAAGTGTTATATTTCCCTGGTCCTTCCAAGACAAGATATTTTTCCTTCCTGACTCAGTTTTGAGAAGGTGACAATCACACTCATAAGTGGAATGAAATAAATCATCTTAAAAAGCAGTGTTCCTGTTAACTGATGATATATGGAGGAGATAATAATCAATGTAATGAAACAAACTATATGAATGGTTGAATGTGATGATGTGCCCTGTAAACTTTCACTCAATCCAAAATAAAAACAATAAAAAAAATTAAAAAAAAGCAGTGATCACCACCTCCAAGGCTCTTGTACAACTGGCCTCTGTCATAGTTAGTATCTGTTTCTCTACCAAACTACCCACCTGCTAAGCCCCTAAGACTCCTCTGGCCTGTCACCCAGGACGACAGCATCCTGAGACAACAGGTCTCCTTCCACCACCTCTTAGCAACACTCAAGCATGTGGGTTCAGGGGAAGGCGAGCAACACACAGGAACTTACCTTTTCCATCTGTGGCTGATGCTTCTTGTAAATGTCTGATTGACCTAAAAAGGAACATTTGAGAAAAACGTTAGCTAGCAAATCTGCATTCTTTTTAGTTTCTAGTTTTAGTATCTTAGTATGATCCTGGGCAAAGACCTTTGACAATCAATTGAGTCATGTATGGTGCTCAAGGTGGAGTGTTAAAGAGGCCCTCTGCTACCCAAATCTGGGGCAGGAGTCAGGGTGTCAGAAAACAAAACCAAACCCATTCAATTAATACACATGCTCTCTACCTAATCTCTCATTACCTAATCTCACATTTCCCTACACACCTACACACACATACTGCCAAGACACTGTAGAACTCACCTGCTCTCTAGAATGCAGTGCCCCTCTGAGGTGGTCACCAGAATGACTAACCCCCAAAACCCCACTGCCACTGAGTCAACTCCAACTCAAAGCTACCAGGCTGAGTACTGACTTCTAAAATCTAAGACTAAGTACTGCAAGCATATGCCGTCTCACCAACTTGGTATTTTACTGGTTAGAGATTTAAAACTTTGTTGAAAAAACTCCAGCCTGCAGGGAGTCTTTTTGCTGGCTGTGATATGCCAGTAACTAATTACCATCATTACAGTTTAAGCAGCGGAACATTACTATTATTAATGAAGCCCTAGATGGGAGTTCTAGGTACAGTTCAAAGCCACCAAGGGAAAGACTACTTTAAAGGATGAGAGAACAGCAGAGGCAGATATGGTGCAGCGGGAACAGGGCGGGGGTAGGAGATGTCTGACAAACTCATCTTTTGGCTATTGTGAGTAGTGCTATAATGAACCTAAGTGTGCAGATCTGTTCATGTCCCTAGGTGGCAAAGTGGGTTGCAAGGTCAGCAGTTTGAATCCACCAGCTGCTCCACAAGAGAAAGATGAGGTTTTCTGTTCCTGTAAAGATTTACAGCCTCAGAAACACTACAGGGAGTCTCTGTGAGTCGGAAACAACTTGATGGCATGCACCAGGAGCAGGGTAAATATCTAGGAGTAGAATTCTGGATGATATGATACTTCTGTTTTTAATATTTTGAGAAAACACCATACTGTCTTCTACAACAATTACACCATTTACAATGGCAATGAATAAAGGAGATCTCCCCATATCCCTGCCAGCATTTGTTATTTTCTGTTTTTCACTCATTGCCATTCTAGTAGTGGTGAAATGGTTTCTAGTTGTAGTTTTGATTTACAACTCCCTAATGATTACTGGTGTGGCGCTGTGGGTTAATGCGTCAGACGGTAAAGCTGTTTGAACTGCAAGGTTGGCAGTTCAAGTTCACCAGCGGCTCCTCAGAAACCCTGCACAGGGTCGCTATGGGTCGGAACCAACTGGACGGCACTTACCAACAACGACTACTGGACTACAGTGGGTTTGGGGTTTTTGATAAGGCTAACCATGATGACCACCATTTGTCTGTCAGTTTGTCATACTGTGGTGTTGTGTGTGGTGCTATGATTCTAGAAGCTATGCCACCAATATTCTAAATACCAGAAGAGTCACCCATTGTGGACAAGTTTCAGCAGAGCTTCCAGACTAAGATCGACAAGGAAAAAGGAGAAGCAGATTACTTCTGAATGATTTGCCAATGGAAATTTTATCAGTAGCAGCAAAACATTGTCAGAGATAGTGCTGGTAGATGAGACAGGTTGGAAGGTACTCAAAATGTGACTAGGAAGAGCTGCTTCCTCAAAGTAGAATTGACCATAGTTACTACATGAAGAGCAAAGCTTCAGAACCTGCATTTGCTTATGGGGCACAACTGAAACTGAGAAGAAACAGCTGGAAACATCGACTAATAATCAGAACACGGAATGTACAAAGTATTAGTCTAGGAAAATTGTAAGTTTTCTAAATGAAAATGGAGTACATAAAGATTGATATTTTAGGCATTAGTGATCTGAAATGGACAAATGTTGGCTGTTTTGAATCAGATAATCATATGGTTTACTACTATGCCAAAATGTCAAATTGAAGAAAATGATATCACACTCATCCTCAAAAAGAACATTTCAAAATCTATCTTGAAGTACAGTGCTGCCTGTGTTAGGATAATATCTATATGCATAAAAGGAAGACCAGTTAAAAAAACACCACTATTGTTCAGAACTATGCACCAATCACTAAAACCAGTGATGATGAAACTGAAGAATCCTACCAACTTCTTTGGCGTCCCGGTGAGATGCTATAGGATAAGAACTGGACTGCTAACCATAAGGTTGGTGGTTCAAACCCACCAGCTGAGCCTTGGAAATCCTATAAAGGATTGTTACAAGTCAGAATCAACTCGACAGCACTTTTAACAACAACAATTAATGTTTTCGGTCTCAAATCAATCAAGATGTACTGATATTTATTGGTGATTGGAATGCAAAGGTTGGAAACAAAGAGGAAGGATCAGTAGTTGGAAAACAGGGACTTGTTGATAGAAATTATAACAGAAATAGCATGACAGAATTTTGCAAGATGAATGACTTTTTCATTGCAAATACCTTTTTTCAACAATGAAACACATGGACCTTACCAGATGGAATACACAGGAATGAAACTGACTACATTTACTCAAAGAGACAATTATTGTTGTTGTGTTGTTAAATGCTGTCAAGTCACTTCCGACTAATAGTGAACCTGTCTGTATGGGGTTTCCAGGGAACAGCTGGTAGGTTTGAACTGCTGACCTTGTAGTTTGTAATCCAGCGTCACACCAGTTGACAATGGAAAAGCTCAATATCATCAGCTAAAACAAAGCCAGGAGCTAACTGTGGAACAGACCATCAATTGCTCATATCCAAGTTTAGGCTGAATCTGAAGAAAAAGAAAAATTATTGAGTCAAAATATGACTTTGAATAAATCTCATCTGAACTTAAGAGACCATCTCAAGAGCAGATTTGGTGCATTAGACACTAATGATCAAAGACACGAAGAGTTGTGGATAACATCAAGAACATCACACAGGAAGAAAACTAAAGGTCATTAAAGAAAGGGAAAAAAGAAAAGTTCAAAGTGAATGTCTGAAGAGACTCTAAAACTTGCTCTGGAGCATAGAGAAGCTAAAGCAAATGGAAAAAATGAAGTAAAAGAGCTAAACAGAAAATTTTAAAGGCAGCTTGAGAAGACAAAGTCAAGTATTATAACGAAATATGCAAAAACCTGGAGTTTCAAAACCAAGAGGGATGAGCATGGTCAGCATTTCAAAAACTGGAAAGAACTGAAAAAATTTAAGTCTTGACCTGATGTGGCACTATAGGATAAGCACTGCAAGGTCAGTGGTTCAAACCCACCAGCCGCTCCTTGGAAACTTCATTCACATTCATAGGGTCACTATGAGACAGAACTGACTCAACGGCACACCACCACCATCATGGGCAAAATATTGAATGATGCAGGAAGCACCAAAAGAAGACAGAAGGAATACACAAAGTTACTGAACCCAAAATAAATGCTTGCTATTCAACCATTTCAAGAGGTAGCATATATTCCAGAACTGAGGGTACTGAAGGAAGAAGCACAGGCTGTACTGAACACAATGACAAAAAACAAGGCTCCAGGAATTAACGGAATACAAACTGAAATCTTTCAAGAAACTTGCTACCTGGCTAACCGATAGGAAAAGATCCATATTTGTGCTAATTCCAAGGAAGGGTGACCCAACAGACTGTGGAAATCTTGAACAATATCATTAATACCATAAGTAAAATTTTGCAGAAGATAATTTAAAAATAGTTGCAGCAGTATATCGACAGGGAACTGCCAGAAATTGAAGCCAGATTCAGAAGATGTACAACTAACAAGGATATCATTGCTGACATCAGATGGATTTTGGCTGAAAGCAGAGAATACCAGAAAGATGTTCACTTGTGCTTTATTGACTATGCAATGGCTTTCAACTATGTGGATTATGACAAACTATGGATAACACTGTGAAGAATGGGTTCCACAACACCTAACTGTACTCATGAGGAACTTATACTTAGACCAAAAGGCGGCAGTTAGAACAGAAGAAGGGGATACTGAATGATTTAAAATTAGGAAAAGGTGTGTGCCGGGGTTGTATCCTTTCACCATACCTATTTAATCAGTATCCTAAGAAAATAATCTGAGAAGCTGGATTATATGAATAACGTGGCATCAGATCTGTAGGAAGACTTAATAACAACTTGTGATATGCAGATGATACAATCTTGCTTGCTGGAAGCAAAGAGGAATTAAAATATTGAGACTATCAAAGACTACAGCCTTCAAGTATGGGTTGCACCTCAATGTAAAGGGGAAAAAAACTGGACCAATAAATAACATTATGACCAATAAATAACATCATGATAAATGGAGAAAAGATTAAAGCTGTCAGAGACTTCATTTTGCTTGGATCTACAATCAGCACTCATGGAAGCCATAGTCAAGAAATCAAAAGATGATTGCATTAAACATATCTGTTACAAAAGACCTCTTTAAAGTGCTAAAAAGCAAACATATCAGTTTGAGGATTAAGACGCACCTGACTTAAGTCATGGTATTTTCAACTGCCTCATAATCTATGTGAAAGTTTGACAATGAATAATGAAGACCGTAGAAGAATCAATGCATTTGACTTATGGTGTTGTCAGACAATACTGAAAGTACCATGGACTGGCAGAAGAATAAACAAATCTGGAAGAAGTTCAGATGCTCCTTAGAAGTCAGGATGGTGAGACTCTCTCTCTCATACTTTGGATATATTATCAGGAGGGGCCAGTCCTGGAAAAGGACATCATGCTTGGTAAAGCAGAGGGTCGTTAAAAAAGAGGAAGACCCACACCCCCCATTCGAGATGGACCAATGCAGTGAGAGCAACAATGGGCTCAAATATAACAATTGTGAGGATGGCTAAGAACCCGGCAGTGTTCCATTCTGTTGTGCACTGAATGGGTTGCTATGAATCTGAACCGACTCAATGGCACCTAACAACAAAGATGGTGACAGTCTTTTCATGGGTTTATTGACCACCTGGATATCCTTTTTGGTGATGTATCTGCC